GACTCCTCTGGTTGTATAGAAGTCTATGAGAAAATGACTCTACTTCTCTCTTGATTTATTACCTCAGTAAACATTGTAAACATGAGTTTATGGTCTCAATCTCTAGTTTCAAGTCTTCTTCAATACAGCATGATGTTCATTTAGTACATTATGGTCCATTTAGAGTCAAACAGACCATAAAGCAGGGGATGCTTTAGGGCGGGGCTACACAGTGATTGACAGGTCTCTACCAGAGACGTATACGGCGTCTCTACGTCACTCCTCCTCAGTCCAGATATGGTCACTTCCTGTTCACTGGTTGCTAAAAAACAAGATGGCGACGGACAAAATGCTGGACTCAAGGCTTCTAAACATCCACAAACCAACGGGTGACATCATGGCTGATTCCCCAAGATTTATGTCCATTGCAAACATTCAGCTTCAAGAAGTCCTGGAGTTTATAAACTGTGACTAAACCTCTGAGTGCCTAAACATGACCAATGAAATACGATGATTATCAGGCCGTGAGGTATTTCAGCTTCAGCAGCAACATTTTGCTGCGTATCTGCAGTTGCAAATGAAGGAAAGTGCACACGAACACATGACACATGTATTTATTACATTTATTTATGTGCAGATAAAGAGGTTTGTTTCTGTTTGAAAGCTTCATGTTTCCTTCTGAACACATCAGTCATAGAAGATATTACTGCTGCCTCCCTCCTCCCTCCTCCCTCCTCTCTCCTCTCTCCTCTCTCCTCCCTCCTGCCTCCTCATCGTTACCTTGATCTCCTTCAGCCTCCCTCCTCCTCCTTCAGACGCCCCCTTTCTCTTCCCCCTTCTGTCCTCCCTCCTTCTCACCGCTGGGGTCCAAGATTCTTTGGCTTCCCGCTGTGATGAATGTTAGTCATGAGGAGTCTCCTAAGTCCTCCATTATCTCCTCCGACATCCCCCCTTTTTTTTCCTCTTTGGTCTCCTTAAATCATCTGGACAACTTGTCCTCTTCCTCCTTCTTTTCCTTGAATCAGTTTCCCCGTCTCCTCCATCATCTCATCATAACACCCTCCAGCTCTTTTGTCTTCTTCATGATGAATGTTTTTCTTGTGGACCTCCCTTCATGGTCTCTGTTACTCCTTCTTTGTCTTTGTCCTCTTTGTTTCCTCCTTTCTTTGTATCCTTCGTCATCTTACATCAATCTCTCCTTCTTCCCAAAACTTGTAATGAATGTTTGTCAGAGCTCCAAACTGCTGTTTCTTCCTTCATAATCTCCTCCATCCCTCCATCCCTCATCCCTCCTTCCTCCTTCCTTCCTTCCTTCCTTCGTGCCTTGATGAATGTTTCGAGGAGGATTTCAGAGTGGAGGAGTTCCATCTTCTCGTCGTATTGTTTGAGGGAAAAAGATAAACTTAATTTACATCAGATCCAGGCTGCCATGAACAATTATGTTTTCTCTCTCTCTCTCTCTCTCTCTCTCTCTCTCCACAGTTCGGTGGCGGTGTTGAAGGACTGTATGAAGAACAAAAGTCTGGTTCCTTTCTTCCAGGAGAGACAGACGACTCTGAACCATTCGTTACCTCTGGAGACGTACCTGTTAAAACCAGTGCAGAGGATCCTCAAGTACCACCTGCTACTACAGGTGATACTCCAAATACTACATTCAGTACCTCAAGTATCACCTGCTACTACAGGTGATACTCTAAATACTACATTCAGTACCTCAAAGGAATCTCTTTATTCTCTTAATTGATAACTATGTTTAAATAACACATATTGATACAAAAGGTGAAGTTCTCCTTTGAGGTGTCTTTGCTGAACTCAGATACTCAATAATAAAGTATCAGGAGGAACAAAATCAAAACCGGACTGGGACGTCCCGACTTCACACATAGTACTTCACACATAGTATATATATATATATATATATATATATATATATATATATATAATAATGGCTCTAATAAATTCCAGATCTCACTGGAATCATCAGTCACAACCTTTACGAACGTCTGAACTAACGTCTGAAGATATTCAGCTCCATAAAACATAAAACACACCGAGCTGTCCAAGCCCACCTCTGAGAGCCGAGTCTTGGTTCTCTCCCGGTCTACGGTGGCCAGTATCAACACTGGTCAAACATGTGCTTGGAGCGCTGCACTGCTGGGATTTTCCCACAATCCTCAGCGGGTCGTGCGTCAGTGGTTCCTGAGATGAGATGCTTTCTTCTTCTGTTTGTTCACCAATTCTTGTTTTTGCTTCTCGACATTTTCTTAAATGTCCCGTTTGGTCTCATGTCCAACCGTCTTCTCAGGAACTTTCTAAACACTTTGACAAGAGCGACCCTGGGTATGAGGTCATCGAGGACGCCATCATCACCATGACAGCGGTGGCCTGGTACATCAACGACATGAAGAGGAAGCAAGAGCACGCTGTGAGACTGCAGGTGAGACTCCAAATACTACAGTCAGTACTTAAAATACCACCCGATACTACCGGTGACACTCTAAATACTACATTCAGTACTTCAAATACCACCCGATACTACCGGTGACACTCTAAATACTACATTCAGTACTTCAAATACCACCCGATACTACCGGTGATACTCTAAATACTACATTCAGTACTTCAAATACCACCCGATACTACAAGTCACACTCTAAATACTACATTCAGTACTTCAAATACCACCCGATACTACAGGTGATACTCTAAATACTCCATTCAGATGAGACTCTTCTTCTCTCTCTCTGACTCATGAACAAACAGATGAGATGTGAGACGGTTGTTTTTCAAGGCGCTACATAAATAGAGTTATTATAAAGAGCCTTAACAGGATCCTGGGACTCCTCTGGTGCTGCTGGTCTTGGAGTTCCAGGTCTATCGAGAACCATTTCAGGGAGTGATCTTTTAAAAGGGTTTATAAAAATGGAACTTCACACAAAAACTGTAAAAGAACCAGAACATAGAACAGCGATCAGGACCTGACTCATCCTCTAGACGCTTCTCCCTGATCCACCTCTGACCCTGTGACCCTTCACCTCCTCACAGGAGATCGAGTCCCTGCTGGTGAACTGGAGCGGGCCGGACCTCGGCGGGTTCGGAGAGCTGGTTCTGGAAGGTTCCTTCAGGGTCCACAGGATGAAGAAGGAGAGAGCCTTCTTCCTGTTTGACACCATGCTGCTGATCGCCAAGAAGAGGCTGGAGCAGTTCGTCTACAGCACGCATATATTTGTACGTACTCTGACGGTCTAGAGACTGACCCCTTGACATGTGGTGTAGTGTTCTTCATCAGTCATCTAACGGACCCTCCATCTCGTCTCCATGTCTGTCTTCATGTCCAGTGCTGTAATCTGCTGCTGGTGGAGACCCTGAAGGACTCTCTCTGCTTCAAAGTGTCCGATCAGACAATTCCCAAACAGCAGCACGTCGTCCAGGTGAGTGATGAAGACTAAAGGTCCGACTCTGGTCCATCAGAGGGTTCAGTCTGAGACTCTGGTCCACATGTCTGACTGTTAAACATCTTAATAACATATATATATATATATGTACATATATATAATGTACTCCATGTTGTTCATATTTCATTTCTTTACTGCAGACAAAGAACCAGGAGGAGAAGAGACTTTGGGTTCACTACCTCAAGAGACTGATCGTAGAGAACCATCCTGCTTCTCTACCACAGAAGGTAAGGAGGCAAGGGAAGGAAAGGAGGCAAGGGAAGGAAAGGAGGAAGAAAAAGAAGGAGGGAGAAAGAAAGGTAATGAGGGATGAAGGAAGGAAAGAAGAACAGAAATGATAGAGGTAGGAAGAAAGGCTATAAGGAGGGAAGGAAGATTGTAGTAGTGACTGCTATTAGTAGTAGTAGTACGTAGTAGTAGAACCAGTGGATGGTATTAATAGTAGTAGTAGTGCTAGTGTTGATTGTAGTAGTAGTAGTAGTAGTAGTACGTAGTAGTAGCAGTATTAGTAGTACGTAGTAGTAGCAGTAGTACTAGTGTTGATTGTAGTAGTAGTAGTAGTAGTAGCAGTAGTAGTAGTAGTACGTAGTAGTGGAACCAGTGGATGGTATTAATAGTAGTAGTACTAGTGTTGATTGTAGTAGTAGTAGTAGTAGTAGTACGTAGTAGTAGTAGTAGTA